CAACAATGACCCATTCCAACGCCCCGACCAGATACAATGCAACACATTGTCCGACCCACAAGCCGGCGAGACCCCAGCCATGAAAGGCGAGGTAGATGCCGGCGGGGAGAGCTCCACCGTAGTAGCTGACGAGGTTCACCACAGCCCCGACCCACTGACGGCCCATGCCTCGAAGGGCACCACCACACGATCCGTTCAGGCCGTCTGCTATCTGGAAGAGTGCGACGTACGGCATCACTTCGCCAACGAGCTGCACCACCCGCTCGTCGTCATTAAAGATCTTGCCAAACACATCCTTCGTCGCCATAAGCATAGTAAGAACCACACTTCCGAGTATCACGGACAAGATTGCTGCCGAGTGTGCTGCTATCGCCGCGTCCCGAGGCCGCTGCGCTCCCAGCAGATTTCCTAGTCTTGCCGATGCTGCTACCCCAAGACCGAAGGGAATGGTGTTGATAATTTGGTCCGCCGTCATGATGACAGACTGGGCCGCCAACGGAATAGTGCCAAGTCTCCCGGCAGCCAGGGCCACAATCTCGAAGGCCCACCACTCAGTGCCAACATGAACGACTCCAAGAAGTGCAAGCTTGGAAAAGGGCCCAATATTTCTGATGGCTCTCCGAAGCTCCAGACCACCCCAGCATTCCTTGCCGCGGACAAAGACTGCATAGGCAACTAGAAGGAGAAACGATACCCAGTACGAGATGCCTGTGGCCAAGGGAGCACCGTACAAGCCGAGGCCGAAAGTGTGGATGAACAAATAGTTGAGCCCGGCGTTCATCGGAGATGTAATTAACAGCACATACGTGCCTGGGCGGTAAATCGCTGTCACATTTACGTCAGTGCCGTCGTCTATTTCCCTCCGTCCTTGACTTTCTCGAGGTGACACTGAGGGGCCCTGACTTACCTTGGGCCTGCAAATACTTCTTCATGGCCTCGAACCACACGTATCCCAACCCGCCCGGGATCAGGCATCGCAAAAACGCCGAGCTTTGCACGCAGATGAACTCTTCTTGGCCCAACGCCCGGAACACCGGTTCGGAAAACCACCAGAGCACTGCCACCACAGCATAAAATGCCGACAAGACAAGGATGCCTCTCTGCAAAAGGATGCCCAAGTCGTGCTTGTTCGAAGATCCCGTGAAGCTACTCGACGCAAGAGTGTCGAGCGCCGTCGTGCCACCGAGGGCAATGAGCCAAGCTGTCGCCATGGCGAACATGTAGCTGAAGGCTGCGGTGGCGAGTGCTTCCGGGCTCAGTCTGCCAACAATAAGAACGCTGATGGTTTGCAGGCTGTTCTGCAGCGTGTACGCCAGGATAATCGGCACAGCGGCTTTGGCCAGCAAGAGTATTTCGGCCAGCCATAGCCGGACTGCGTGGGGTTCTTCCGACTTGACCGCCGGGGGCTTCGGTAGCAATGCCGTAGTCTCGGACCGGGAAGACATGGAGGGCGGGCCCAGTGTGTCGGCCGAGGACGTGTCCGACATTGTGGTTCTTACTCGGATTGCGACCGCTTTCTATCAAGCTCGATGTCACTCCGGAAGCGGTGGTTGTGGAAAGTCCACCCGACTGTCCAAACCGATTTCCGGATGTCGATAGGAGTGACTGCAAACGCGAGTCAAGGGACGAAGCAGATGAGACAATCCGAGGCTAGTTGTGCACCCATGCACCAACGTGTTTGCTGGCGAATTTCGAAAAACTTAAGGGAGGGAGCGAAGGTTCAGACGATCAGATGTCAAACAATAAAACGAAAAGGACAGCGGGAAACGGCTCAGCATTGTATACGGCATTTTTCAAAACTCCATCTTGCGACCCCTCCCCATCCCATGCTGGTATCGAAAGTTCAGACACAAGATAGCTGACAAGAGCTATTTGCCACGCGCAATTGGGCCAAGTTTGTAACTCCAACGACGGACAATTGACTTTGCTCACCTCTCGCGAGGCATGCCTGGTTCTCATCGCGCGGGGAGAACCCCTCAATCGATGGGCAAAGATTGGACAGCGATTAGTCTGCATTTCGGCCGACATGAATTTCTTTCCACGCTTGCGAGGGTCTACGTGGGCGAGAAGGACGTTAGACAGCGGACCGTTGACTCTGAGTGGCTGCATCGATTATCGCACGGCAACTGGCCCATCCGAACTGACGCAATGGATGAGGTCGGATTTCTCGAAGGAGCAAGCGGCTTACATGGTGCGCAGTTGCTGCGACTCTGCCCTACTTATTGTCTGGGAACGCGGCGGCCACCTTGATGAGATACCAAGAGATTCGGTAGCCCAATCTGCCAGAAATGCGAATCGTGCATACCAAGTACACTGCATTCTTCAGCGCGCTAAGCCAAGAAGAGGAGCCGAAGCTCAACCAATGCAGATTCTCTTATCTCGCGTCTTATCCGTGGACCGAGGACAGCAACGGCTTACCTAAGGAACAATGGCTTAAGGCACTGGTAGTTAGTTTGGCAGTCTGGTACCGGCACCGGCCCTGGCAACGACGGGCAAGGTTGGCAAAGGCTTCGGTGAACATGCAGCGGGAAACGGCCGACACCGGTATCGGGTCCAGCTTTGCCGGCCGAGTGGAGGTAAGGGGGGCAGATGAAAAAAAAAAAAGAATAATAAAAAAGGGCTGATGGGAAGAGGGGGGGGCGTTGTCTTATCGGCAAGTCGCATTGCTTCCAATCTACGAGTATGTCGTACGGGATATCATCGCTTCACGCCAGCACTGACTGGTTCCCTAGGCACTTTGCTGTGCTGGAGGACTTGTCGAGGTCAGAGCGTGCAAGTACCCATTGGAGCCATCTCAATTCACGCCCATCTCAAGATCTTCGCCGCAGCGAAAGACCGGCGGCCGACCTCATGACCGACGAGACTGTGGGCATGAGAGGAGCAAGGGGGAAAACAAATCTTCAACTTGCATTGGTACAATACGAGAGTGGACATGGAACAAATGGAGCAGCCCCAGAAGACACTCTAGAAGAACCTTGGTCCAAAAGAGGGAAAAATCGAGACCATCTTCAGAGTATCAAAGCGCAATGGTCAACCGCCAGGCGAGTTCGACAAACTCGGGTAGAGGCACGAGAGCACCAGGGTCAATGGTCAAGGATTGATGGGCGCCACCATCTTGGACTAACATTGACATTCTCGCACAGAGTATCAACGACGATCAAGCTTTAGACACGGAAACTTCTTGAAAACAGCCGGAATAGTCTTAGCTACTGAAATAGAAGCTATCCAGCATAGCTGTAACGACGGTTGCGGCCAATGGACGGCACGCGCACGACTAACGGGACTCGATGCCATGTGCTTTTCATGAGTCGAACTGGCCAGGGACAACGGCTTAATCTCATGCAACACGAGGCGACTTGAGTTGACTTCAACTTTAGATTTGAGCCAACCTGATTTCATATCGTCACTACTGCATTAATTGAGTCGAGCAAATGGCGAATGCGGCAACGGACTCAGGTTCAGCGATGGACAGACCGGATACTTCGTACGGGATACATTCGAATGCCTTGCTTGGTGCAAGGTCGAGTCCTCTTTTCACAGAACGCATAACGGCGTCATACAGATCTCATGGTTACGGGTGAGAACCAACGCATTCTGCAGGGCCAAAGTTAAAGTCTAAATAGACGAACCCCGTCCCCTGCCCGGTCAGCGCCCGCGAAGCCCGTCAAGTCAGCCCGCCCGCCCACTGAGCGACATTGAGAGGGTGCCATTTTCTCATCGCATCTTGGACGGCAATCACACGAGGAAGATTCCCTACCACCGCGGTGGCCGCAAGGTACAGATCAGAAGTTCAGCACGCCAAAGAAAAACGGAGTCTGATCTGACACAGGACGTGGCAGCCTTCTTCGAGTACCTTCATCCATTCTTTGATTGGGAAAGGAATTCATTCGAAACACGCCGTGGAACGTGGCTCTAAACTCTAAACCTTTCGTCGGGGAACCCTTTCGCCCGCCCCCCTTCTACTGCTGCCTACGTCCGTGACTGGGCTTCGAACAAAGTGAACACGGCCTGTTCCCCTTCGACCAACGTTGGACATTGCAAGGTACCGGATGCAATGTCTGTACCTGTGTTCTCCAGTGTACGGATACATTGCGACAACTCTTCTTTCTCAGTCTCTTCCGCACCACCTTGGTGAGCAGACGTCGTATAGTCACCCCTACGCACCATATCCGTGAGGAACCACTTCCTTCACTTTGCTCTTCCTTGCTCGTGGGACATCGCATTACATACACCACCTGACGCAGTGCAGCTACATGGCACGATTGCTTCCAGAGTTCCACACCACATGTTTTTCTCGCTCTCTTTCGCTCTTTTTGCCTTTGCATCCTTGATATTCACCCTTCGCTGTTCCTACGATCTGCATAGTATTTCCCATCATACACCCTCCTCCTCACCTCCTCTTGCTGTTTTCCCGTTGTTGAAGCTTCCATATGCGTCAAATCGAACTCGGGCTCTCCTGGCAGAGAATCATTTTGGCGGACGTTCGGGATCGACACCGCCAATGCCTCTAGGCTGTCTCCTGCGGATATCTCCTGAACTCTTTTTTGGCTTCAGAGTTTTGACGTCACCTCCGGACGACGGAAGAGGAAACAGAACTGCGGGTGCGGAAATTCCGCTAGAACGGTTACACTTCAGCATCCAACCGTCAGAAGGACCCAGCCCAGCCCAGCCGCTGCCCCGGCACAAGGTGCGGATGCTACGTATGGACGGGTTCGGGAGTGCTTCCTCTCCACTTGCCAACCACCGTCCCGAATCCGCCAGTCAGACGGAGGATGCGTGTCTCACTTCCGCATACGGGGCTTGTGATATCCGTGGTTGAACTGGAGTTTGCCATCCATTCTTCCGTTCTACCGTTTGTCGGTCAGCCAGAACCGGCCCTTTGCAGTACCGATACCACTTCAGACGCAGGTAGGCAACCTCGCTTCGACAGATAGCGTATCCGTACGAGCGTATCGTTTCCCGGGGAAGCGGTCGAACGGGAAATAGGGCGTACAAACGGTTTAGGGTTCTTCAGTGCAGCTTCTGGCACGTCCACGTGGCTTCCGGCAAAGTGAACGGACAACCGCCCGGCATCGCACTTCTCTGCGACTTCTCGCTTTCAGCATGGTCGCCCGTTTCATGAGGGCCTCGAACGCTGCCCATCCCGGCCGTGGCGAGTTACATGTTGCCGTCAAAAACGTGGGCAGCGTTGTATCAACCACAAGAGTGTCAGGAAAGAAATAGTCTGCTGGGCGCCCGCTGCTGGGACGGTTCCGCAAACTGGAACACAATACACACCCTGCTATGGGGGAGAGGAGCAGCAAGAGGAGGGGACTTTGCATCGTCACCCACTCTTTAGAGTTCGAGGCCGCAGCATTACAGCAGGCCAGCCTCTCCCCCAGTACCCTCCCTCATTCCCACCCTCTCGATGCTCGCGCGTCTTAATCCTGGTCTTTCGTCGAACTCTGCCAGCGGAAGGTGCAAGCGCTTTCCCCAGGAGTAATTTCGGAAGTCGGATCGTAGGGATTATTGATGGGCATTTGGAAATGACGACGTTAAGGCCCGGGTACGAAGTTGCTGTTTCTTGCACAATTGTCGTGATGCCAAAAATCACCTCCCATGTACCCTGCCATATATCAAGGCCACCCCCGGGCAGTTGCCCTGTCCATAAGCCTTTTCCCCCCTGTCTATTCTTTTTTCCTCTCCCAATGCTACCTTTATGCAGTAGCTCCCAGCAGCAAGCTGACCCCTGAGAAGAGACCGCTGCGCTACGGTGTTGCCGCCGGCAGCGTCGCCTTCTTCATCACCTCGTGGCAAGTTGAAGTCTTGCAAATCCCAGAAATGGATGGCCCGAGAATTGCAGGCTTGCTGTTGTTGTTGTTGTCGCAGACGTTACGCTCAAGGGACGTCATTCTCGACGCAGAACGCAGTAATCTGCTTTTGCCAGTGGCCCCGTCCTTCACACCTCCATGATGGATCCATGATGGAGGAAAATATTTTCCCTCGTTGTCGGGTTTCGTGACCTGCAATATGCGGCCGTGGACCGACGTGTCCAGCAATATCCATGACTTTGCGGGAACGGGGACTCTCCACTACAGAGGAGGAGTCTCTTCAGCAATCGTCGAGTGTTTCTTGGCCACACACCCACTCACCGCTCTTCGCGCCCGGAGCGCCGTCCTCCTCTTGCTGGATGCCGCTCCATCCCTCTCCTCCTCTCCTCCTCCCTCTCCTCCCTCTCCTCCTGCTCTCCCATGTCTTGGCCCTCGAGCCAATGCTGCAGCCGCATGCCGGTCGACGCGGCACCCATAGCCATTGCCCAGTTTTCCACTCCGAGGGTGAGGGTGCTAATCGTCAACATATTTTTCACAAAGCGCGCATGCGGCGTCCGGTGGCATGCCGGCGCGATAGCCAGCATTATCCAGTGAAATATGCCCACCGTGTCGTTCCATGTCGACAGGGGTACACGCCATGTCGTCGTCCAGATCTGCAGAAATTCTGATTCCGTGCATGTCCCGCTCAGCGGCGTCCGGGTCATGACGGCCCGCGTGTAGAGTAACGCTGTCATTCGGATAACCTGGTACATGAAGTCCGGACTCTGCTGGTGGTGGTATGCGGATCGAGGACTCGTCGGAGAATCGCTAGCGTCTCGGGTATGTGACTTGGTTGACGACCATTCGGATGTCGTGGAGTCGGAATTCGGGCCCGAAGGTGATCGGCCCGGCCCAACGGAGCCAGGTCCGGCGGCCGTACCTGTGCTGGGCACACTCTCACTCCGTATGGATTCTCTATCGAACGCGGCGGAATAATTGCTTGTTGGTGGCGAATTCGTTCGAGTCGGGGGATCTGAGGACAGACTTTGGCGATGTCCAGGTATGGTTGAGTGAAGACTGCTGATATGTTCATACATGTACTTCCCCATCGCTTGGGCCTTCAGCGAGGCTGGGTTTGTCGTTGCTGATGTCGTCGATTCATCATATATCGCGTCGACGACGCTTAGAAGGTACTTCACATTGTCGAGTATCGAGGCCGTCGCCGGGTGGATGCGCAGACTCGTGGCGCAATCGGAGAAAGACGGGAGTGATCCGCTGCACGGTAGATGTGTCACCATGGGCGATAGATTCGCCATGCGGAGGGGGACGTCCTTTATAGGGTCGACGAAGGCGTACGGTTTCGCCAAGACCCGACGTGCTGAATTTGCCGCTCCTCCTGATGTCGCTGGACCCGTCGACCCTTTGCATCCGCTTCCTCCGCCTTTACGGTCGTCGTCCGAAGGCGACAGAGTCAGTAGCAGTGGGCTGTTTTCGTGGGCGAGGGATATGGAGACATCGTGACTGTGCATATGAGTCAGTTCATCGGGAAGGTAAAGACGAGCCAGGCGTGCATATCGTTTGTTGGAAGAGGATCCGTTCGCGAGTCAAACGAGTCAAGAGTCAAGGCCTAGAGCGAAAATAAGACCAGAGAGGGTCGGACGGACAAATGGAAACATGGTAAATAAGGCGGAAGATACTGCGTACGAGAAAAATGTCGGAAAAGCAAAATAAAGGACGCAATAACAATGCGGGAAGTAAAATATACAAAACGTCCAGACACGCGAATAAATGAGTAGCAATCATGAGTACACGACAAAGGCAGATATCAACCGTCAAAGGTATAATCAAAAGACTCAACAAGGTCAATCCAGAGAATATGTAGAAATCAGAACAACAGAAAAGGTTTACGCACACGATAGCATTTTTCGCCAAGAGGCCGTCCATGCCGAGCTGATTGAAGCCACCGCGCACTCTGATCATATCTCGCAAGCCCATGAGGTGGTACCTTAGGTCCTGTTCCGATTCGCCCCAGTACCATTCAGCCACGGTGAGCTGAATGACGCCGGCGATGGCCGCATCTCCGGGCTTTTGAAATACCGGTGTGGTTAAACTGTTTGCGTCTGTTGCGGTCAGCGCGGTGGTGTTTGGCACCATGCTCTTACTGCTGTCCGTGGTCAGGTTTTCGTTGAGCATAGCGATGGCTTGGCCTTTGTAAGTCCGCAGGACATCTGTCCGTACATCCCCAGTCTCGTGGAGGAAGCAGGCTGAGGTATAGAGAATGATCCGCATCACTAGGGGATCTTGAAGGCAGAAGGGGGAGTAATGACGTATAAAAGGATTGTTGGGGCTCGGGTCGCCGTTGATAGAGGCTTTGAAACGGGAGAGAACTGCGATGTCTGTACTCGCATATCAGTATCATGTCTTTGGCAGATCAGGGGCTGTGTCCACTTACACAGTCTAAGTAATTTCTTGTTCAAGGGGCTCTGGTCCACAGGTAAAAGTGCTATTTGCTCGTCTATACCGCTGGCTGGTCGCTCCGGGAATTGTACCCTAGACTCTGCTGGATGTGACCAAGATCCAGGACTCTGTCCATGCTGCGGAGTGTCGTCGTCGTTATGGGCTGTTTCAAAGTTGTCGAAAATCAACTTTGGGACTGCTAGTCGATGTGACAAGACTTGCTGCGATGCTTGGAAGATATCGACATCTAGTATACTACGATCGGGGTTGGCTAATGGAAGCCACGAGACTGACGGTGGAAGACATTCTGTATCGCTGTTGAGGAGCTCTGCCTCTGATCGTTGTACTCTAAGCGTAGATTGGTATGTTGCCGGTTCCGAGCCTGGGCTTGGATGTGACGTCGAAATACCTGGTACAGCCCAACCAGCGATAGAAGGACTCCCGAGCGGTCTTGTTGACTGAGACGCTTGTATCAGGGGAGAGCTTACTCCTGGTAGTGTTGAAAGAAGGGGACCACGACCTCCCGCCCTTGCTGGTGTCAAGAAGGTAGAAGTTCCCGGTATGCGACTGCTGTGGGATTAGATCATGTAAAAGATTGTGATAGCAGCCGTAGATCTGGCAGGAGGGAACGGGGACGAGTGCGGAACTTCAGACTTACTTGCCCACGCGGTACTCGCATATTGGTTGAGGAAAACGACGGAGGCAGTTGCTACATGGCTGACCTTGGTCACACTGTATCAGAATTAGTCTTAGGGTCCTTGGATATGAGGGCCCGAGACGAAGCAAAGACGCTTCTTTGCATATCTCGTGAGCGATCAGCCAACACTTGATACCGACATTCAGTGTACACAGCGAAAGGAAAGAAGGCTGAAGTAGTAGGTGTACGTGCCTTCTGCTTCCTCCGTCTGCACTCCCCGCAGGACGTTGTCGTCCTCTCGGCGCGTGCTGCGTTCCGTGACGCCCGCTGCTGCTGCGAGCCTTCGGACATCGTCTGAAAATGGCACGAAGGCGGCGGAGGCGGCGGCTGCTTCTACTGCTACTGCTCCCCCCTTTCGTCTTCCGCAGAGCATCCGTTTCTGAGATACCTGTTTTTTTGTTCCACCTTTCCTGCAGATCGGCGGCGGCGACGCGGTATCGAACATGACGTGACTTTGGACCCGAGAATCTGGTTGAAATGTTTCTGGTAAGGCTGACTTATAAACAAATCGGAGAAAAGAGCAATAGGACATTGTCGAAGCCAGATCAAGTGAGAAAGGAGGCTTTGTCTGAGCTGCAGCTCGTCGGGTTTTGACACATTTGGTCTAGCGTCATGAGGATAGCTTCCGTGGATCGAGCTGGGCTGAGGAAAAGCCACAAACCAGCCCTCTGTTTCTTTCTTGGGGTTTGGTTGATGTGCACTAGCTTCCTCGCTAGTGCGAGAGCCCAAACCCAGGAAGCGGTATCTTGATGGTTCGAGGTTGTGCTCGCTGGAGAGAGAGAGAGAGAGAGAGAGGGAAGGGGGGGCGTACATGGGCCAGTCGGTTCCATGGAATTTCCGTGGGAGACAGCTGATGTATCGATGTCGACACATCGGATCGAGCCTGGTGAGATCCGGTCTGGACACATGGAGACTGTGAGTAGTTGTTGTGCAAAAAGATATGCCCCGCTCAACACTTCCCATCGCTGCCGCGAATATCTCTTGACCGCGTTCAATAATTGCGATAGATGCTACCGGATAATCAAACCACAGGGCAGCAGTTATCCTATCAGCCATACGCTGACTTCAGAAACGGCGTAAATCATGAAGCACAAGCCCCATCGCTGGCGGCTTGTCGTGCTTGAGCCTTGTCAAAAAGAGGCTGGACACTTGTCCCTGTAATACCATACCACTTGGGAGATGGAGTCGATGCGGCACTGTGACGTCAAGTTCGAGGATGGAATTAGCCGGCGAAACAGAGCGATAGGCTCAGACAGTCTTTCCAACGGCCCGCTTTCGGCGAAGCCCGAGTTGGACTCTCATGTTCGAGAATGCGGACCCAAAGAGCAGCCGATGGTTCGCCAGTGTGCGAAAAACGGTTGAGTAAGTTCGACGTGCCGGACTTTTTGACAAACATACGCGGAAGCCTTCTCCATGCTGGGGAATGTGACGCCCACATTGTGACGAAACGATGCAGCCGCAATCAAGCAAGTGCGCTAGCACAAAACATGTGTGTCCTAATTCGGACAGCTGAAGTGAGTCCACGATGCGTAGCTTCTGCCCAATCTCATGGATTGAGAGACCTCAAACTTAATCGACGTCGCCAAAGGAACGAACTGCTCAGCTACAGCAGGAGCCAAGAAGGGCTAGGCCAGGCTTCCCACTAAGGCAGAGCTAGCGCCCTTGGGAACCTCCGTTATTCAGCGAGGTGCCCTGTGGAATTCGTCAGCCCTGTCCGTGGCGCACCGAAAAAGCAAGAAGTGAGGGATGATTTTCTGTAAAACGTGTTCATAGAGACATGGCTTCGTAAAACGTGCCTATAGAAGCCCGCTGCCGGCCCCCAAATGTCTCGGTTGGGCTAGTTGAGGTAGCATTCCTGAAGGCTTCCCAATGCTTCGAAAAACTCCATCTCGTGTCGGTTCTTACTTTGGTCTGTAATGCGAACCGTGGGTTAGGGGGGCAGGGAGGAACGAGACGAACATCAATGAGACATTGGCATGCCCCTCGTGGCTGTTCACATTTGCTTTGACAAAGTCGGTACGGCGCCACGGGCGGCGAGCCTGGAAAAAGCCTCGTTGGCTAGCTGAATGTGGTGCGTACGCCATTATACTTAGATGAGGTGGAATAAGGTAGGTAGTAGATTCGAAGCTGTGTCGACGGCTGTAGCTTCATTCTCGAGCCCAAATATTGAGCTTTTGGTCTGTCAGAGTCCGCAGCGAAATTTCCAACAGAATTGAAGTTCCAATATACCAAAAACGAATCGAGGTGACTAAATCAGGCGGAAATACAATGGGAGTAAGGACGTTTTGGCAAGCTCAGGGGAACGTGCCTTTTAAGCTTAAGGCCGGTTCGCGATCAGCAGGGCCCACTCCGCCGTGACGTAGTGACCCACTAGCTGACCGAGTTCTCGGGTTCTCGCCACCGCCCGGAAAGCGGGAAGGTCCCGGGCTTGGAAGTAGTCGCTCCTTTGCTGCACTGAGAAATTAGTAGGCACTTTGAGTGAGATGTCTAAGCGCGAGGAAATATCATTATTTCATTAAAATGGCCGCGTGCTATTCCACCACTGCACATGGCCAGTAGAATCGCATGCGTTGGAATGGTATCTGACCTAAAACCCCCCAAAACCTGATTCGTTTTCCGAAAAGAACTCCCTTTTGCTGTGTGCTCTTGAAGAAACAGAGCCTCATAAACCAGCATGATATCCACTTCCCTGATGGTATTACTGCGCTCCAAGTGCTCTCACGTGGAGAAATGGGGTATCCAATCGATCTTTCCATCCTTTACCTCCCGCGGTAATCCGGTTTTCTAGCCATATTCACTGGTGGAGGCTCGTCATCCACTGGATAGGGTAGGGGCGACGAGCCAACAGGACGACGGCCTCCGGCTGCCTGATGTTCCGGGAGTGGTGTCTTGGGAGGCAGCGGTGGTGGAATACGCTGTGGCTGTTGTGATTGCTGGACCGGACCGTTATTGTAAGGCTGGTTCTGCCATCGTGGATGTTCATCCGGGCTCATGATAGCAATCTTATCAGCGCCTGCTGCGTAGCGATACTGCGCTGGGGTGGGCGCAGTGACAACAAGTCTATCAATCTCATCGTCCTTCGCCGGGGGTAGGGGCCGTTGCTCGGGCCGTGGTGACGACGATGGTTGCAGCCGTTCGCCGGAACTTCTTGGTGAAGGACTCATTGGTGAGGGAATGTGCAAGTGCTCAGAGCCAGATTCGTAAGACTGACGGCTGGGCGGTGTGTTGTGTGGCGGCCACGATGTAGGAATCTCGGCTGGCAATTCTACCGCAAACGACATTGGCTCAGTCGTCTCCGAATTTGACTTGACCAGTTCAGGGACTTCTGGTAGGCGTGAGAACCTGATGTTCGCTTTGTGAATCTTGGCCATCTTCGCAGAAGCACCTTGAATCATTTTCTGCTCGACCTCCCGCCTCAGGTATTGCCGTGTGCTCGTACTGATTTCGGCCAGGCGATGCCATTCGTTCATACCAAACTCGCCGACGCCAACCTCCACATTAAGACGGTAGTAGTTTTCGACGTTGACGTTCCGCTTCAATAAGTGCTCTTTCCTCATTTGCTCGTGGATAGCCTCACATCCCTCAATCTTGGAGATAAGCTTCCGGCGAGCTTCCGCAAACTCTCCCAGGAAACCTTCGTACCACATCTGGGAGTTTGCATCACTTCCTTTGGGCCGTCTGCCGGTACCAACGCTGAGAAACACGCCGACTTCGCGACCCGGCCATTCGTTGACTACGGCTTCGTCAAGAGCCTCGGGAGAAGGGTTGAAGGTGCCGCCACCGTCATCGTGAAAAACGGACTGCCCGATTTGAATGGGCTTGAAGGCTAGGCCGATCGCACATGTCGCTCGTCCAGCCTGCCAGATCTTGCAGTCGAACTCTGGCGGAGGCTCTCTTCTCGAATCGTAGGATCGCAGTACGGCGGCGGGGTTGCCCTTGCGGGAACCTTTGTACATTGCCAAGACGGCGCTGAAGGGAAATGTCAGTTCAAAGCGCGTTGCTACGTGCCTGGCAGAGTACCGGCAGTCAGTAGGTAAAGACGTACGTTTTAGTCCTGTTCTCCCTTGCGTCGTAAAGTCTCGCGTTTGGGTCACCGTACCGCGAGTTGAAGGCAGGGCGTGCCATCTGAGCCTGGGGGCTACGTGCGCTGAAGCTGACAGTGCTGGCGTTGCTTGCATGCCTCCGGGGATTTGAGGTGTTGTAGCCGCTGAGAGGGCTGAGAACATCGTTCTCGGTGCCGTCATTGCCCTCTTTTTGATACACTGTGTGCTCCCTCACAGCCTCCTTGATAGCCTCCTCAAGCTTGGAGGCCTTGAAGAGGGTCGAGCGGTAGGGAATGCCGGCGATAGTTTTGTCGGTTTCGAAGACCATGCGCGTCAACCTAACGTAAAGTTCCTTGCACTGCTCTAGATCAAGGCGCAGTCGACCGAGCATCAGGGCTATAAGACCGCCGGTACCGGTTCCTACGATGAGGTCGAAATGATCGCAAGGCCGAGGGATTTCGTTTCGCCGCGGGGCTCTCCCCTCGATCTCGACAAAGGTACGGTGCATAAGTTCTTGGAGAATGATAAACATGGAGTAACCACGGACTCCTCCGCCATCTGTCATAGGCATGTTAGCATGAGCGCTTCCGGGCCAGTTTCGCGGGTTTTGCGCGCGATTTGGGGGTCGCGAAAGTGGCCGGTCTGCTTCACTTTGCTTACCTAGAGACAGAATGCGTAGGGGAGGGCCCTTTGTGGTGTCCCTCCTCCTGACCCCATTGGAGTCCATGATCTGGGCAAGCTCTCGTGGGTAAGCTGGCTTGGTCGCGATCCACCGGGCTTCTTGATATTGGTGTGGGGTATCGGTTGTCGTTGAGAAATGTCTATTGGCAGTCGCAAAATGGTTGGTTTTTCGCAGAGGGTTTGTTGTTTTCTGCGAGATGCGAAAATTAGGAATTTCGGAGAAGATGGACTAGTACTGTAGGTGCAAGTGTGTAAGTAGGTAATTAGTTTAGGCAAAGCAAGGCAAGGCGGGTAAGGCAAAGTGCAGATGGTAATAATCCACCGCCCACCCACGAATACAAGTACAAGGCCTGATCACGAGTGGGAGGGTGACGCAAAGAAACGGCTTGCGCCCTGCACCATCCACTCGGATGGGGTCTTGGCCAACCCTGTCACTTGCCCACTTTGTGGAGGATGGACTCACCACTTGTGGTCACTCTACCGATGATTAGCAGAATGTAGTCGCATTCGCAGCTTGGGCCGGAAGATGGGCGAAAGTCTGAAGATGGTCGGCTGGTAGCGATTGGGATGGCGATGGCTACGGGGAGCAAAACACCCCAGCAGGAACCTGTATTCGACCTGAGAGTCCGCGACTGCGTGTGACGCCACAGTAGCTAATTTAGAAATCGCCCAGGGTATTTTAGCGACTTAAGGATGGGCACGAATGGAAGGCCGCCGTTGCTCCTAGGCCCATTGTCCTGGCTCCCTCCCCTTGTGGTGTCAGCGAGTGGGAGGCGGGAGTGAGATCCAACTAGGTTAGGATCTTCTCTTTGACGAGGCACTGAGGGGTGCCTGGACCGTAGAGCTCCGACGTGGGTGCGTTTTCGCAACACGGCGAAGGCGAGATAATGGGAAGGTGATAACTTTCTTGCTCTCAATATCTGTTCGAGTTTGTGAGGGCGCCGACGCGAAGTGAAAAAGGCAATCGGGAGCACCGGCAAGAGAATGTGGTGAGAGGCAAATAATAAAAGTGGGAGATGGAAAGAGAGACTGGGTGGTGGGATGGAAGGTCCAAGATACCCCTCTAAGGTAGTGTACCTGCCTCGGGACGACGGGATGGGATGGTCGGATGGAAGTTTGGTCCTTCTTTCCTCTACCATTTCTGCATCATTCTTTCTCATTTATCAGAGAGAGAGCGAACAGCCAAACTCATGTTCTGACCACAAACGCAAGCGTAACTGCTGTACCTCGAGGGTAAGGTTAGTAAGGTAAGCCCAAGTATACAAAATATGACATCGCCTATTGTTCCCATTTCTCGCCTATCGCAACTTACGAGTATCCTATCCAAGTCTTCACGGATAGTCAGTCGGTCCAGGCCTCCCGGTACATTCCAAAGATGACATCCCAGGACGAACCAGACAAATCAAGACTCCTGCAAACGCGACAGATACCCCGAGGCAGGTCGCGAGGCAGATACACGGCTCAATAGGCTAGCAAGTTACAGCAGCACAGCAGTCTCGCAGCCAGTACCTTGCCTGTCTATACCGTAGCCGAAACAAAACCGCAGGGACGCAGAATGTTTCCCACTCCACGCAATCCCGTATACTTGCGAACCCCGCCCAATCTCGGCCTTTGAAACCGACCGTCCGCCCACGACTCTTCCGGGACGTGCAACTTTGGGGGCCTTCCATTAGGCTTTGAGGCCATGTTCCTTGCTGGAGGATCCCGGGAACCTGCACTAGAGCCAGAACCATTCTCGAACCTCTCTTTTCGCGACAACTCCAATCGAGGCCGTCAAACCTACACTGCGAGTACCCACGCAACAGCGCCGCAGCAGTTCATGGGTGCGGATAGTGCCTCTACCTCTGCCGCACTACCGTCTGCCCTGACAGACGCCCCGCTCTCTCGAGATGGTCCCTTCAAAAGAACCAAAAGACCTCAAAGTCACAGGTTCCGAGCGGAGACCGAGGCCGAGAAGCACTCAACAATCTTCTACATATTACCATTACCCATGGTTCAAGGTGCGGAAGTGCCCCACCAGATCTTCGGCTACTTTGGGCCCCGATGACATGCTCGTGCTGCCACGGCCTTGGCTTGTTTCTGACCACAGAAGAGCAGCAGCCCAGTCTTCCCCGCGTCTAAGCAACTGCTTATTCGCCATGTCCGGTGTATGTTCATTCGAAGCCCCTTTGTCGATGGAAATTGTCTTTTGGATTTTTACCATTTGACTTGGCTGCAAAACAAACGATAGCATGCGTTTCTCACTTGCAGCGAAGCAGCTGTCAGCCTGTCACCACGCACGAGAACTTGCCAGCAGTATCCTAGTGACTACTGCGCACTCCGTACAGTAGGTATTCCCACACTCGCTACTACTGATGCGGACAGGGGACCCCTTCGGATGACCACACCCATACGTCAGCAGTGCCATCAGCTTTCAGCTTTGCATGTGCCGCCTGGCTGCGCTAGCTCCCATCTCGAGCGTTGAGGTAACCCACCGACCCAAGATGTTGATTGGTTATGGTGTGTTCTTCTTGCCGAACTAGAAGCTCGAAGCCTCATTCCCGCGTGGCTGTGCAAGGCTTGGGCGAGTTCCCAACCCTCTCACTCGTCAGTCTTGCTTTTGGAGCTTTCGAACTTCAGTGTTCAGAGCCTTTGTCGCCACTTGGAAGCGCTCGCGTGACAAAACACGGTTCTCCTGGTTGTCGATTCCTGGGACGGTTTTTGATAGTGCTTCTTGGCAATAGAATCCCAACCCGCTCATTTGCTGGGTTTATTTCAGAGGCACGAGAGAAAAGGCTTCACCAGCTCGATGGGAAAGTTGGTCAACGCCTCTTCGGAGGCCCATTCATGCCCGACTCCTAGAGTCTCTAGGATTTGTGGACTGGTAAAGTCCACTCCAGGCGGCCCGCACACGGAATGCCGTGATCCTTGACCGGGCCCTCCGTCCCGTATCAAGGGTTCGCTTTCTCCTCTCGTCACTTGTGTCCGCCAACGTGTATCTTCTCAGACGCAGACTCTTACTTCGGTCATCGTGTTGAGAACATGGTACTTTTCATCCGACTTGGCAACGGAAGATGCGGGCCCATGGCGACTGACTACTTCGACTGCGGGCGTCTTCCGTGTCTCCAAGCTCCTTCCTTGGGGCAATGTCGTCAACCGGTTATTTACTGCAACCTAGGCATGCCAGCGGCCAAATCATGGTGGAGGAGAAGATCCCATCATCCCATGAGGTCCTCGGGGCCGGCGTGCTGTTCATTCCATTCGGCGTTCTCGATCAGCAATGAACAAGAGGCTGGGAGAACCCGGAGAGAACGGATCAACAAACACCGGGTGCCTCCTTGCTCGGGGCCCACTTATCGGCTCGGGGCAAGCCGCGCCCGGAGCTCCCATAACTGTTGACCTCAGCAATGTTTTCAACGGACCCAGGTCGGTAGCAAAGAGAACAGACAGAGTCATACTGGAGAATTATTGAACCTTCAACAGGTCATCAAGCCGTAAAGATCCCCTCTATCGAGTCTGTAGCCAAGTCCATGCCCGGCCTGCTTCGTCTTGGGAAACCATTCCTCATGCCTGTAACAAATACATCCACATAGTACCTGACTAGGTAACGGGCCCTACAAGTTAAGATAGCATGCGTAAGAAGGAAACTTAGATTTGCGACAATTCGTCTCAGCCTTGCCGCCGCAATTGCGATGGTCTCAGGCGCGGATGACGAGATAAATCCTATTTCCACCATGCCCTTTGCGACTTCTTCACGCTACTGGCATTGCTTCACGGCCTGGACTTGGCTACAAGCGAATATCAATATTGCATGATCCCGCGCTTGTATAAGCTCCCAGCCCCCGACAGCTGTATTCCCTGCTACCAGGGAGGGTCCTCCCTTCAGATCATCAATTACCGAGGCCTGAGATGCACTTGGTGGCACAAGGCGAAGCTGCTGGGGCTTTTTTGGTGTATGTGCGGCAATACCTAGACGCAGTCCTGAGAGCGCGATGGAGTATTGAAGTTCATAGATAGTAGAGCATCCGTATATATAAGGTAGGTAGCCTGCCTGGGCTTTTGGACGCGGGGCAATGTGTTACACGGTGTGGATGTCCTCCACAACGCGGAAGCGGACGATGAGGCCCAATAGCGCAACGCGTGGGCTGGAAAGTGTAGCTGACGGAGCAAAACAGCCGATAGGAGGCGGATGCAATGGAAGCTGCTGAGACTCGATCGTGCAAGCTCAATTGGCCAGCAGCAAAGGGGGATGGAGTGAGGAAGGTGAAAAGGGTCTGATGTGGTGGGACTAGAGGCCTGCAGCCATGCCTTCCGACGCGGGTAGAAAGTGTAACTTGGGAATCAGCCAAGCAGAAGGTGTTCCCTCTTTCGCCATTGTTATGCTGCCATGCTGCCACGCTGCCCAGTCTGTCGGTCAACCCAAGCCTGGACTTGACATATTCTCTCTGGCGGACCTCGCGGCGCTGCGGCGCTATTCGCCAGTCGACCGTCAGACTACATTAGCCGACCTGACTGGGCTGCCACGCCTCGTGTGTGGCGGCGGTAGCACCGATTGGTATCGTGCTGCAGTGGTCGACAAGACACAGACAGACAGATTTGGATGGGCATGAATCCAATGATGATAGGGGATGAGATGTGTAACGGATGACAGGTGGCAGGGGCCGTGACCAGGCCAGCTCAGGTCCATAAACACACCCGACGTCAAAAGTCAATTGTATCGAAGCTGTATCCGTGCTAAACGCCATCATTCTCTTACTGGGCTTCGTGACCTTGAGAGCACACAACCAAAGCTCAGAATGACCTTGAGGAACTGCGGGAGATGGGCGTGAGTGAGTAGGTGAGTGGTGGGAGTGAGATGTGAGGGAGCGGACTGGCGTGGCCTTGGACGTGACGTCCGAGGCATGCCCAACGGAGCTGCCTCGCAGCACAAGGTTGTACAGGTGGCACCAGTAAATGGCAGTGATTCAGGCAGGGTGCATGAGAGAGACCAGTTATCAGGTCTTTTTGGACGCCTAGCAGCACGGCAAAGGCGTGAGGAGGGAGGGGCAGTCGAGGCAGCGGCGGCGGCGGAATGAGGGGCACACACACATTACATACCTTAGTACACTACACTCACCGGGCAGACACCACACACACTCACACCTCACACACGCGAGGTGGTATACTCAGCCCAGTCAATCTGCATGAGTTGTATACCTAATACCTTACAGGTTGCCCAAGAACATACATGGAGGACGAGTGACGGGGATGTTTGATGTCTGCGCAAGGTGAGAAAAGTGGCCGCCATGGTTTTGAGCTTGGCGGAATTACCAGATTGGAGTGAGCCGAGATTGGACAAGACAGAAAGTGATTCAGCCAGGAACAGATGATGAAGCCACTGTAAGCAGGGAGAAAGAACAGCGCTTCATGACACGATGGGGAGTGAGTGACTGGTTGAGTGAGGTGCATCTCAATGTCGGAGAGAAGTCACCGCCAGCGCGAGGTGAAGGAAGGAAGCTCCAGTGTGCCCCACTCTCACTTCTGCCCGCCTTGCTGCACGGACCACCAGCGAGTACCTGGTGAGCCTTGATTGGCCCGTCGCAGAAGAGGCAGGATCGGCCCAGAGCCTTTCCACCTCTTTCCTGCCTTTCTCCCGCAACGAGGCTGTATGTAGACTTCCTCGGTACCTCTTCTGACCCCCCCAATTATCACTGCCCACGACAATTCAGCCATCGCCCAATTCCTCCAGTGCTTGCCTTCCAAAACTTTCCCCCTCCATTGAGCGCCTCCATGATCATAACGCAACTCAATTCCAAACCGCGTTTGTACAAATTGTCTTCCCATTGACAACTGTAGATGGAACAACCCCAGCCATCCAAGAAGCGGCGGCTTATGCCAAAGGAGTCGCCGTCAAATCACACCACACAACCGGCTCCTTTCCCCCATGAATCGGTGAGGATTCTGTTCTGCGCTCCCGTAGCTTGATTTGAGCTGCTGGAATTAACCGTCTCTTGAACCCATTCAGCCTCAGCAGCACCCAACCCAGGAGGCCCCTCCAGCCGAACGCCATGACTTCGAATCCTTCGCGAGGCATCTTCAAGATGCTGCCATGCTGATCCAGCGCCAAACCGAGCGCGCACCCTACGATAGCGTTTCTGTGCTTCTACTGCGCTGGGAGGAGGATACCTCGGTCGAGGCTGATTTGACGGCTTTGGAAAACATACTACGAGACCGATACAACTACCAGACGAATCGATGGGCCATCCCGACCGTACCCAACCCCAGCATCAAGCTTGGGGTTCAGATGGCTTCTTTTCTCGAACATGCCCGACCAAATCACTTGCTGATCATCTACTACGCCGGTTATGCATATGTTGGATCAGATAACCAGCTCTACTGGGCTTGGTGAGTCGAGAATCTACTGCAAAACACGTCTCCGCACCGTTCTGACCGCCCTTCCATAGCAATATCCGAGAAGATGCCGCAAAGCTCAAGTGGGATGGTGTACGCTGCCTGTTTGAAGATGCCCAGTCCGATATTCTGTTGTTGCTCGACGCCTGCTCCGTTCGTGATATACCCGTGTCTGGAAGCCATGGCATCAAGCAAGCCATTGCAGCTGGCGGTCCTGAGCAGAATCCCAGAGAGGCTGCGGGCAAATCTTTCACATATCACTTGATTGAAGCTTTGCACAAGCTGAGCATCGCGGGCAGAGCATTCAGTGTACCGAGGCTACACGAGGAGATTGTCCAGTTGAGGCAGCAGGAAACCGCACAAGCAGCTAAACTCACAAACGGTGCCACCAAAACTCCGCCACCATCACCGCAACTTCCCATTTGCTTCACACTTACACCTGGAAAAGGTCAAAGTCTGAGCTTAGCTCCCTTGCCTGCTCGGGCGGGTCAACAGCAATCGCCGCGCAATGGGTCTGATGGGGAATCACTGTCGAGGGATGTGCGCGAAGACCAGCTCATTGACCCTGAATCTGTTGCTGATTTACGTTTCGATGAGCCACGAGTGCTTGTGTGCACCACATTCGTGGGAGATGCCAGTCCAGACATGTCTTTCTTCAATGGCTGGCTTCACAACACG